TAAGGTTTTTTCTGCGTTTTCTTTGGTCTGTCCCTCAATCCTTTGAAGATACCTAAATATAATTCTTTTGAATTCCTTATCAGAGAGTTCCAATGCTGCTGCTTCCTCAGGGATGTGTTCTGGGTCTGTATCCTGCCTCCTTGTTTCTACCACTTTATCCTGCTTCTTTATGTGGGCTGTAATGGTCTGTTGTCTCCAAGACATCGTGGCGTTGTTGTATTTAGATCTCTGTTAACTGTTTGTGAAGAGCAGCCAAGGGTGATTCAGGATCTTCTTGGTGGTTTTTTATCATTGACCTGTTGGTGGAGAAGGAGGTAGTGGCTCTCGCTCAGTAAGTGAAATTGTAGGAGGTGTGGGTGTAGTTATGTCTTATGGGGACTGTTGCTGTCTCCCACTCAGTTAGACAAAAATTACAATTGAATAATGATCAAAAACCTAAAAGCAAATGGACAAAAAACACACACCATGTAATCACACAGGAACAGCAACCAAGAAAAGAAAAAAGGGAAAAAGAAGAAGAAAAAAAACAAGAAAACCTGCAATATCTGGGGATAGGGCACTAAGAGAAAAAAAAGGTAGTGAAGGAGAACAATGAAGAAAAAAATTTGAAAAATGCAAAAAGGAAAATGAGGAATGGGGTTAATCAAGAGAAAAAAAAATTTTCAACCAGGAACAGGGAGAAGAAAAATTAGGACCTGGGAGGGGAAGAATAACAAATAATAGTTAAAAGGACAAAAGTATTAGTAATAATAGTAGTTTTAAAACAGACAAATACAAGCAAACTAAACACCAGAAAAAAGAAAGCGAAAAAGAAAAAGAATAAAAAGAGAGAAAAAAAATTGGTGAAGGGCAGGGCAGGGGACCCAGGCTTTGTCCGAGCACACAGACTGGGAGTGAGGGATGGCCGCACCTCCTTTCACCAAGCCAGTGTGGGGTATAAGACTAACAAGAGGAATGTCTCACCTTTTCAGTCATGCAGGTCTGGAGTGTCCTTGGAGTTGCTAGCAAGCAGAACCTGTTCTCAAGCCCCTGGAATCTGGGAGAGCACTGTCTCTTTAAATATCCAAAATGGTCAAGCCCCTTGTAAACATTCAAAATGGCGGCGTCCTCTGGACAGGCAAAAGTCCACAGCTCAGCCTGTCTTCCTCTTCACTGCTGCTTCCCCTTTTATTCCCCAGCCACCAGAACAGTCCTCCATGTAGTCCCTGGCTAGCAGGGCTGCTTTTTACATTAATTCTTAGGTTCTACCACCACTCGGCACTCTCCAATCTGTCTGTGCCATCAGGATTGCTGCCAGACCGCAGCTCCATATGTCTCCTTTTTTGGTATTTTCATGCAAATTTTTCTTCTAGTTGGGGTTTAATCCATTTCTATATCCTTCCCTTCAAGGCTCAGGGGTCCAGGTTTATCTTCTGTGTCTGTGTTAATTGGTTTCCCTTTTCTTTGTTGAAGCGTGTCTGTGCAGTCTTTTGCGTAGTCCGCCATCTTAACGGAACTCCCATATTCTGATTATTAATGGATGTTTGCAGCTGTTTCTCCTCAATTTGAGTTGTGCCATGTTAGCAAATGGAGGTCCTGAAAGGTTTACATTATATGTATTATTAAGGTTGGTTCTACTTTGATGTGGCAGGTCTTTCCCAGTTGTATTTTGAGTACCTTCTAACCTAAGGGCTTGTCTTCCTGCACTGTTTTGGACAGTGTTTCCGGGTATTCATAAAGTTGCCTAGTAATGTATTCTGCTATTCATAAGATTTTCTCGGGCCAATTTTTTGGGAAGTGGATGACCTCTGCCTTCTTCCTAGTCTGTCTCAGTCTGTAAGCTGCGTTGAAACCTGTGTACCATGTGCAGCCCTGCTGGTGTTTGAAACACCCTTGGCACAGCCTCAAGCCTCACAGTGATGCACAAGTCACCATAGTATGACAAACTGACAGACAAGTTCGTCTCCTTTAGCTTTTCAAAACTTCTCCTGTTTCCCTCCCCTTACCTGGATCCTGTAGCTTTTGTCATCCCTGACATTCCCCCCTGCAGAGATAGGCTCCAGAAAAACATTCCCCCTAGCCAGGTTTGCTGGTCTGATAGACTACTATGGCCCCTAGCAGTCTTTCAGGTCTGGAATTGAACCCACACCTGTGGTTTCCAGACAAACAAAAGACAGGCATATGAGTTGAACATTTACCTGAGGTAGATACACTCCTTGGAGAGAACAATCATGGGAGAAAGAAGGGCTGCTTATGCACAGGGAGACAGCTCAGGGGGCAGGAGTGCATGGAGGGATGGACACTGGGAAGAGGTAACTATGGGGAGGAAGTGGGAGGGGAGCTGTTGCATTGTGGTAAACTGTGGTCAATGTCATGAGACAAAGTATATGTGAACTGCTGTATGGAAAGTGAAATTGTTCTGTAAATTTTCATCCAAATGGCAATTAAAAAAAAAAAAAATTCCCCCTAGGCTGGCTAGGGGAGTTCTGGTAGCATAGTGCCTAAGGCATTTGACTGCTAACCAGAAGGCTGGTGGTTCAAACCTACTGCTCTTCTGAAGCAAGGTTAGGTAATCTACTTCTGTAGTGATACTGCCTTGGAAACCCAAGGAGGGGTTGGTATAAGTCAGATCCGACTTAACGGCAGTGAGTTTGGTTGTTTTGGTTTAGGCTGACTACCAAGGAGCTCTGGTGGCATAGTACCTAAGGCATTTGACTGCTAACCAGAAGGTTGGCACTTCAAATCCATCAGCCACTCATGGAAAGAAGACTGGGCAATCTACTTCTGTAAAGATTTACAGCCTTGGAAACCCAAAGGGGGTCACTATGAGTTGGGATGAACTCTTTGGCAGTGGGTGTGAGGCAGACCAGCAGGTCTGAAAGAAGCAGCAACTTGCTCGATTCCTCCTTTAAAATCTAGCCATTAATACTCCCTGTTCTTGAGTGAGGAGCTCTGGTAGCGTAGTGCCTAAGGGACTTGACTGCTAACCAGAAGGTTCAAACTCACCAACCACTCCTCAGAAGGAAGGTTGGGCAATCTACTTCCGTAGTGATACTGCCTTGGAAACCCAAGGAGGGGTCGCTATGAGTTGGGTCTGACTCGACAGCATGTAACAAAAACAACATTCTTGAGTGAGTTGGAATAGGGAGAGAGGCCAGGAGTGGCACTCTACCAGAATCTCCCACATACAAATAGAAAGCCAGGAAAATTCTAAAATTTTTCTACTCCTGGCTAAATAGGCTTCTTTATAGTCCTTTCACAGTATGAGTGGCTTATTCCCACCTTTCCACCATCCGTTTGTTTGTCATGCTGTGATAGCGTGTATCAAATACCAGGAGGGTCACCCATGGTGGACAGGTTTCAGTGGAGCTTTTAGACTAAGACACACTAGTAAGAAAGACCTGGTGATCTACTGGAAATTAGCCATGAAAACCTTATAGATCACAACAGAATATTGTCCCACATGAGGCTAGAAGATAAACCCCACAGGTCAGAAGGCACTCAAAATACATAGTGGCCACAGCAATGGACACAACCATATCAATAATCACAAAGGTGGTGCAGGACTGGACAGAGTTTCATTCTGTTACACATGAAGTTGCCAAGAGTCAGAGCTGACTCAGGCAACTAACATCGACAGTTCCTACCTTTGTGAGATTACCCACCTTTCTCCATTTACTCAAATCGTGCCAGGCCTTCAGGGGCCAGCTTGCATCCCACCTCTGCCCTGAAGCAATTATCAATCAAGCCGTCTAAGTAGAGCTCCTCTGCCCTCTTGTGTCATTTTTTTAGTCCACTTACTTGGCTTTCAATCAGTTACTGTTTTGTATTATTATTTGCCTAACAATTACAAGTATGCATGCATTTACCTTATTAATTAACGTTCTTTAGAGACCATGATCCCTGTCTTATATTACTTTGTAACTTGTACATACCTAGAAGAGAACTGAATACATTATATGTATACATGCATACATGGGGTCATCATGAGTTGGAATTTAACTTCATGGGGTTTGGTTTTGGTTTACATATTGTTGAAATGAAAGAAAATATTAAAAGATTCTTCCTTCTCTATTTGACACTTACATTTTGATTTTCAGTATTTAGAGATGATGGAATTAGATATAGGAGACGCTACCCAAGTTTATATAGCATTCTTGGTTTACCTGGATCTCATGGAGAGTAAGTTGTTTGTTTATATTGTTTTGTTATTGGGGCAGGGATAGGGATTGGGGAGTCAGTTTGGTATGTAGCATTGGTGACATAATAATTGTTTATGCATTAATTTTATAAATTAATTTTGTTTGTTCTTTCATTTACATGGAAATTAATGGGTAACAGACAATATTAGAATAGTAAAGAGAAAATATACCATTATGAATGAGGGTTGCTCAGATGAGTACTAGGTAGAAGTTTGGGATTGTTAACTTTTATTTTTGATGAAGATTACTGTCCATTCAATGATGTTCTTTCAGGTAAAAGTTGGCATGAAGTAAACTGTGTGGGATTACCAGAACTCCAGCTCATCTGCCTTGTTGGTACTGAGATAGAAGGAGAAGGGTTACAGACTGTAGTGCCAACACCCATCAGTGCATCCCTCAGTCATAACAGGTGAGCAGGTAATCGGGGTCTAACTTAAGAAGTTAGTCCTTTCTTGAATAAAGTGCTGTTGTTGTTGTTGTTGTTATGTGCCGTCGAGTCGGCCCTGACTCATAGCGACCCCTCCTTGGGTTTCCGAGGCAGTATCACTACGGAAGTAGGATTGCCCAACCTTCCTTCTGAGGAGTGGCTGGTGGGTTTGAACCGCCAGCCTTCTGGTTAGCAGTCAAGTGCTTTAGCCACTATGCTACCAGAGCTCCTGAATAAAGTGCTAGGAATCATTAAATTAAAGGTTGTTGTTATGTGCTGTCAAGTCAGCCCCGACTCACAGCGACCCCTCCTTGGGTGTCCAAGGCAGTATCACTATGGAAGTAGATTGCCCAAACTTCCTTCTGGGAAGTGGCTGGTGGGTTTGAACCACCAGCCTTTTGGTTAGCAGTCAGGTGCCTTAGGCACTACACTACTAGAGCTCCCAAATTAAAGGTAGTAATAGAATATTTTTAACAGAATTTAGGGTACAGGGATCGTAGCTTTACTATTAATTACCTGAGAAACAAATTTAGCACTTACTTTATGCTTGGCTGCTGCTAACTGTAAGGTTGGAGGTTTGAGTCCATTGGTAGAAAGGTCTGGCAATCTGCTTCTGATAAATCAACCATTGAAAGCCCTGTGGAGCACAGATCTACTCTGACATACATGGGGTCACCATGATTTGTGACCTACTCAATGGCAACTGTTTTATTTATTTATTTTTTTGTTATGATCAGTACTTTGAATCCACCCAGAGGCAACTTGGAAGTAATCTACTTCTGAAAGTTCATAGCATTTTGAAAATTGGACGGAGCAGTTCTGCTCTGCATACATTGGGTTACCATGAGTCTGAATTAACTCAATGGCTACTAATAACAACTTTTTCAGAGAATATGTGATAGAATACTATCCTTAAGTACACAGGCAATATTTACATTCTTGGTAAGGAGGCAGGACTATTGTGTTTAAAAGAACAGATATAAATATACCAAACCTAAGTGATACAAATAATATTGTTATAGGATTTGGTGACAAAAGTGATTAACATGTAATTGGAATTAAAAAAAAAAGCTTTACACAGCTCCTGGAACTTTTTGTTGTAACCTTAGGTACACAAAATGGAACTCAGCTTACCTTTGTTTTATAACAGAATCTGTATTATCTCATGCTTGGTAATCATTTATTGGGAGCTCTGATGACATAGTGCCTAAGGCATTTGACTGCTAACCAGCGGCTGGCAGTTCAAACCCACCAGTCACTCCTCGGAAGCAAGATGAGGCAATCTACTTCCGTAGAGATACTGCCTCAGAAACCTAAGAAGGGATCACTTTGAGTTGGGACCTACTCAACGGCAGTGAAGTTTGGTTTTTTAGAATCATCCATTTACTTATGTACTTATGTATTTTTAACAATATTAATTAGCTTTGAACCTATCAACCAAATAAAAAACTTGGCTCTTGGCAACAACTTTTATCTAAACCATGGTTCCCCTCATCTCCCTTTTTTTCACTGACCTGAGATAACTACCTGTCATCCTAAATCCTACGTTCATTGATTATTGTTTTATTTATTTTTAACTTCACAAAAATATAGTAAAAAATATATATGCATGCTGTAATAAAAATATACATTTTTACATTATAGTGCTAAAATGTATCCAATATTGTTTATTGCTATAATTCATTTGTTTTGGCTGCTATGTAATATTCCACTGTTTGATTATACCACAGTTTATTCATCTTGTTGGTAGAATATTGCTAATGTTCAACTTTAGGGGATAATTTCAAACTATTTTCCAAAGTGGTTGCCTCAGTGTACTTTGTCACTAGCAGTACAAATGAAATCCCTTGGAGACACATCATCTCCAACATTTGGTATTGTCAGACTTACTAATTTTTGCCAGTTGAATAGAGTATCTCATTGTGGTCTTAAATTGCATTTTTCTCATTAATAATAGTGAGCATTTCTTAATATTTATTGTTTCCTCTTCTGAGAAATGTCTGTTCATGTCTTTTGCATATTGGGTAGTTTGTAGTTTTTCACTGACTTGTAGAGGTTTTTAAATCTGTTTTTAAAGGTGTCCTTTGATGAATTACCTTTCTTAATATAATATTTATCAATCATTTTTTATAATCAATGTCTTTGTGTGTGTCTAGCTTAAGAAAGCTGTGGTAGCATAGTGCCTAAGGCACTTGACTGCTAATCAGAAGGCTGGCTGTTCAAACCTACCAGCCACTCCTCGGAAGGAAGGATAGGCAATCTACTTCTGTAGTGGTACTGCCTTGGCAACCCAAGGAGGGCTGACTCCACGGCACATAACAACAACAACAAGCTTAAGAATTAAGAAGTCTTTTGTATCAGACTTCTTTCATTTAGTGTAATGCAATGTGGAGATTTAACCATGTAGTTGCATATATCAGTAGTGTGTTTCTTTTTTATGCTTAGTAGTATTTTGTTGTGTGATGTGCCACAGATTTTTTTAATCTAATTACTTGTTGTTGGGCATTTGCCTTTTTCTAGGGTTTTTTTTTATTTGTTTTGTTTTTATGAATGAAAATCATAAACATTATTATGCAGGCCTTTGTATAGACATGTTTTCAGTTCTTTTGGTTAAATATCTAGACTCTGGATTGCTGGTTCTTATGGTAAGTGTATTTTTAACTTTATAAGAAACTTCCAAACTGTTTTCTAAAGTGTTTTTACTAGTTTCTATTCCCACTAGCAATGTGTAAGAGTTCTAGTTGTTTCACATCCTCAACAACATTTTGTATTGTCACTTTATTTAATTTAAGTATTTGAGTTAGCTCTGTAGGAGCCCTGTAGCACAGTGGTTAAACATTCAGCTGCTATCTGAAGGTTGGCAGTTCAAACTCACCAGCTGCTCTGTGAGAGAAAGATGTGGTAATCTGTTTCCATAAAGATTTACAGCATTGGAAACCCTATGAGGCAGCTCTACTCTATCTTACAAGGTTACTATGAGTCAAAATTGACTTGATGCCAAGGGGCAGTTAGCTATATATTGTCATTACATTGTGGTTTTTAATTTGCATTTTCCTGATGACAATGATGTTAAGATCTTTTTATGTAGTTATTTGCCATCTGGGTTGCTTATTTGATCAAGTAAAGTTTCAAATTATTTACTCATATTTTAAAAATTGAGTTGTTTGTATTCTTTTTTTTTAATGTTTTTATTATTTTATTTTGATTTGGGTGAAGATTTACAGAGCAAATTCACTTTCCATACAGCAGTTCACATATACATTGTCACATGTCACTGACCACAGTTTACCACAATGCAACAGCTCCCCTCCCACTTCCTCCCCATAGTTACCTCTTCCCAGTGTCCATCCCTCCATACTCTCCTGCGCCCTGAGCTGTCTCCTTGTGCGTAAGCAGCCCTTCCTTCTCCCATGATTGTTCTCTCCAGGGCGGGTGTCTACTTGAGGTAAATGTTTAACTCACATGCCTGTACCTTGTTTGGCTGGAAACCACAGGTGTGGGTTCAATTCCAGACCTGAAGGGCAGCTAGGGGCCATAGTCTCAGTGGTTCCACCAGGCTCTATTGGACCAGCAAACCTGGTCCCCACCTTTCTTTTTTTTGTCTCCAAATGATTTTGAGTTTTGTTCCACATTGTTCTCTCTGTCTGTGCAGGATCTCCTACATCCATTCCAAGTGGATGACAGTGGTAGCCGGGCACCATCTAGTTCTTCTGGTCTCATAGTTGTACAGGTTGCAGATCGGATGGTGTACCAGTTGCTAGGACTGATTGTTTCCATTAACTTTGGTTTTCTTATTTCTTTTTGATGAGGAGAGACCCATCATTGCATCTAGATGGCAGCTTGCTAGCTTTTAAGATCCCAGTCGCTACTCGCCAAAGTAGGAGGTGGAACAATGTTTTGTATAGTATGTTATGCCAATTGAGCTTGATGTCCCCTGCGACTATGGTCCCAAGGCTGCAGGTTCAACTACTCGGTCCCTCTGGGTAGCTGGCTGTGACCAAGCAGTGACCACAACCTTGCCCCTTGTCAGCTCTACTATACACCCGGGAATTCTGATCATTCACATAAACTTATAGGACCATTGTCTGCCAACCCTATATATGATCTTGGATACACTCCCCATTTAGACATACCTAATTGTTTAGCCTGTCCACCTATCTATCCGTCCCTATACCCATGTTTGCCTTCACTGACAACTCAGTACTGTATATGCAAAAGGGTTCATATTTGTTGTTTGTACTTCCCATGTACCTCTCTATGTCTTTCTCATCCTCAATGCTGCCATATTGGTCACTCACATTTGGTACATTGCCCTTCTCTTCACCCAAATCAACACTTATCTCTATCTATCTAACAGTGTTCCTTCCCTTCCCCTCCCACCCCTGGTAACCAACAAAGAAAATTTCCTTCAATAGATAAACCTTTCCATAACTTTTACAATAACGGACTAATACAATATTTGTCCTTTTGTGACTGACTTATTTCACTCAGCATAACAGTCCATTCTGTCTTGCAACTTTCTTAACTTCCTCACCATTTAGAAATTCTGTGACTACACAGTCTTTTCCCTCTTTTTGTTTGTAGTTATCCTCACTTGCGAGTTGTTTGTATTCTTATTAATAAGTTGTAAGAGTTCTTTATTCTGGATACAATTCTTTTTATCAAATATTTGTTTTGAAAATATTTTCTTCCAGTCTGTACTTTGTCTTTTCATTTTCTTAATTTCTTTAAAAGAGTAAAAGTTTTCAATTTTGATTAAAGCTAATTTATCAGTTTTTTAAATATTTTTTTTATGGTTTGTACTTTGTGTTCTATGCAAGGAATCTTTGCTTAACTCAAAGTCACAAAGATTATCTTAGAAGTTTTATAGTTTTAGGTTTTACCTTTAGGTCTATGATTTATTTTTAGTTGATTTTTATATGATATGAGATAAGGGCTAAGATTGATTTATTTGGCAAATGAATGTCTAATTGTTCCAGCAC